AAAGATTCATGTGATGAGAAAAAGAAAAATATAGAGTAAAGACATATTAATATGAGAAAAAACCTTTAAATAGTTTACAGTATGCTTAACAATATATTTAGGTTTGGACGAGAATAGAAAATAGGATAGAAAAAGTTCTTAAAAGAAAGAAAGAGAGTAGTTGGGAATGGGGGTGGCACATACACTTGGGAGGCAGAGGCAGATGGATCTCTATGAACTCAAGAGCAGCCTGGTCTAGAGAATGAGTTCCAGGACAGCCAAAGATACACAGAGAAACCATGTCTCGTTTCCTGTGAAAACAAAAGCAAAACCTCTTCTCCAAAGTAACATATTTTTTGGTTTAAATTGTGAAGTCAAGGCATATTTAAAGTGTGTATGTTGCATTAATCCAGCAGCATTTGTAATCAGATGTCTTTTATATTTGCTTAAAAGGAGACATTTTCCAAATTATTGCATAACAATGTTATTAAAAAACAAAAGAAAATAACATTTTCTAAAGAAAATAAAATAATGTTGAAGAACTACTGGAAAGAATGGCTGCTCTAAAACTAAAACTGAAAAAAAAAAGTGCCTGGGGCAAAGGCCAATGACACATGGAGAAAACACTGAGTCCTCTTTTCAATATCCTGAAACAGTTTTCTGGAAATCCTATTTAAGAAAAAAATGTGCTAATTAAATGCAGTTCCCATAGGACGATTCTTGCTAGTGAGGATCTCTAGCTGTAGTTAAGATAAACTGGCTTCACAATACAAATCTCTATATATGCCTGGAGTTTACCAGGTATTCCTAGATTGACATCAGGAAAAAAGGAAAAAGAAATATAAATAACCAACAAAAAAATAAGGAGGAGGAGGAGGACAGCAACAAAAGAGCAGAGGGAAAAGAAAAGAAATCCAAGTAGAAGGACATTTGTTAGAAAGAATCAATGAGGAAAAGCATATAACCATGAAAACTCGAATTTCATTCAGAGGAGAAGAAAAGGAAAGCCATAAGTTCAAAAACTATTAAGAAGCACTGAAAATTAAAACGGGTGTTGGCTTTAACAATAATATAAAATCATCTGACTCTGTTCTGAAAGATATTTGGAAAAGTTCACTCAAAAATTAGACTATTGCTCTCTTCAACAGAGGAATCACAATTTCTGAAATATGTCTGCTACAAGCAATTTTTTCTTTTCCAGTACATAATAATAGAAAATTGGTAAAAGCTGGTGTGGACCTGGGACCTGTTAAAAATGTTGGATTTTGTTTATCATTAAACTAAAATTTGAGCTAAAGCTAAAGAGCAAAACAGACTTTCTTTGATACTACTGAATTAAAAAAATTTTTTTCAGAGGATTTAAAGTGCTGAAGTGATCCAATGAGGTGGCACCAAAGGGCTGGAGATGGATGACCAAAAGGATGTGCACCGCTCAAGAACATTTAATTTTTTTTTTTTGTTTGTTTTTTTGAGACAGGGTTTCTCTGTGGCTTTGGAGCCTGTCCTGGAACTAGCTCTGTAGACCAGGCTGGTCTCAAACTCACAGAGATCCACCTGCCTCTGCCTCCCGAGTGCTGGGATTAAAGGCATGTGCCACTACCCCTAGGTCGCTCAAGGACATTTTTCTCTGATTGTATAATCTACTAAAGAATCTCTGTTCTTCAAAGACCAATTTAGGCTTACTCCTTCTTGTATGCAGAGATGGAAACACTCTTCGGATATATCCCTTTCAGAGTGATGATTTCCAGGGTATTGAGAAAGATAATATTCCCTGAGAGGCAAAACTGAGAAACAACTGGGAGAAAATTCAAATATTTCTACATGAGATCAGCAGGTTTTTTCAAACAATTCTCTCAAAATTAGTTTATAAATAAAACATTCAATAACATCAAACTTTGCTATTGTTGCCACTTCTGGTTCTAATGTATATATATTAGAGGAGCTGTATATATTCATATTTTATAACTGTATGACTATACATTTCTTTTATAAGATATACTACATCATTTTGAATTAATTGTAGTGATTAATTAGGTGAATATCATGTGATCATCCTACTATTTTTCTCACTTTCTATTTTTTACCATATAAAGTCATTTAACAAATATCTTTGTTCTACTTCTACGATGGAAGAGGTTTTTTGTATAAATGAATATGTGTATATGTATGATGCATTTCACTTGTTATAATAAAATAACATGACCAAGGGAACTTATAGAAGGAAGCATTTATTGGGCTTATATTTCCAGAGGGATAACAATCCCCAGTGGGAAACATGGCAGCAAACAGCAGTCATGGTGCCTGTAACAGGAAACTTAGAGCTTACATCTTCAAACACAAGCATGATACAGAAAGGGTGAAGTAGAAGAATAATGAGGTTATATATCTCAAAGCCTATCCAGAGTGAAACATCTCCTCCAGCAAGGTTGTTCCTCTTAAATCTCCCAAACAACAGCACCAGCTGAGAATCATGAGTTCCAATACCTGCGCCTGCGCCTAGGGGAGGGAGGTTCTCATTCAAATCTCTATATTATCTCACTTAGTGGACTATGCATCCCAAACATATCCCTCTCTCCATCCTTGCCTGAGAAAATTGACCCTGCTTTGTACGAAGAACTCAAAATTATCTGCCCTGAAGGAAATGCTAGGCAAGACTATACTAATTATTTTCTGTAGACCTTTAAAGAGACTAGGAAAGCTCCTAGAAGTGAGGTCTTTGAGGTCAATGACTCTACTAAAGAATTTACTGAACTTTCTAGTTCACGAAAGTAGAGGTCCAGGGAACATGTTTGGGAATAGATCTTAACGATGTAGGATCATGTTAGAAGGAACATAAAACTGGATCAGGCTGAGATTATTGATATACACCCACTGAATGATGATTCTAGGTTTATTATGGAAGCTTTCACAATTGAAAAAGGGTTGCAGTGGTATATATGATTGGTAGGCTGATGTATTTATCAAATGATATTCTACTTAAAAGAAACTGAATGGTCTGCTATATTGACAAGGCTTATTATTGATAATGGGAATTTTAGGACACAGAATTTGGAATGCTAGAGAAGATAAACTTGGAAATATCTATTCCTTTACAATGGCAGGGCAAAGAATACATGCCCTGCACTACAGAAAACGGTGAGTGGGTAGCATGGAAAATGCTGAGAGGGCTCCAACACATTTGTAGAGCTTTGTCATTGTTCTTTTCCTTAGGTCAGATTTTAACATTGAAGATGCTGCTGCTCAATGCATTAATTAATTGTAGTGGGTTTAATTGGGCCACTGACTTGCATAGGTCAGGTGGCATCATTGAATTGTCAAAGGCAAGATAAGTATAGGTATTGGAATGGGCCACACATACAAAGCAATGTGTGCAAAGGTCTAACCCATAGGGACCTTTGGTACTATCTAGTGAAACATGGTATTTCTAGGAAGAAATTAAATAGAAGTCTACCTGTTTGTTTCATCTCTGTAAACAGAAAAACTCTAGAACAAATGCAAGAAAGTATAAATTGGATTGTCGTAATAAGGAATCTCTTACATGCCAATTTTCAGGCTTGAGCCAGTTAGAAAACCTAGAACTTCGTGAATGAGGGAAGGCCAAGTCCCCGAGAGTTAGGATTGTGTTAGCTTACTGAAGAGTTTTACTGTTAGCCTTCTGTCTTCTACTATAGTAACTAAGCATTGAGGAAAAATAAACAATCCGATTTGCATGGCCTATTGGATACTGGTTTTTAATTGACATTACTTCCAGGAAACCCATTAAAATAAGCTGCTTACTAAATGTGGAGGAAAAGAAATGGGTAGTAGAGAAATGTAGTTATAAATACTGGCTAAGATTCATTTGCAGAAATGACTGAAATTGGTATGAGTTTCTGTCTTATTATGTTAACAATATGTTAGCACGTATACACAGACATTTTGATTTCTTCCCTCTATATCTTTTGCATGCACTGAAAATCAATTGAGATAATATCATTGCTGAAGTGTTATACATCAATATTGTCATATTTAAGTTGAGAGACACTAAAAGACTAAGGATTCTTCAAGGGATTTTGCTAGCTATTCTAAAGTAGATAATATGTTTACAGCTTTTCATGAGACAGTTATAGATTGTTAGGTGTAATTATGACTTGATTATTGCTTTCATTTGGAAATTAAACTTTGCTTAAGGAAATCTATCTATATGTCAGGCTGACAATGGATGGATCTGTAATGCCTAATTTTGGTGTCATCTTGACGGTTGCTGAAATTAACTTATTCCCATGTTTCAGGACAGACCTGAGAGTGATTTTTCTTGATCGGGTTATTTGAAACAGAGACCCATCCTAAATATGTTATGCACCTTGTGGAGCCTGCTCAGATCAAAAGACATGGAAGAAGGAAATTTTGCATTTTACCTGCTTAGCCTAATTCTTGCAGGTAAATTTAATCTATTCTGTTAATGTGACATCCCTTCTCTAATAATAGAACCCACTTTTGGGGATTCCAAAGAAGACAAAGGCCCAGAAACTGTAGTATTTCTTGAGGCTTCCAGCACCTGAGTGGGAATGCTGAGACTTTCGGCCTTGTGTATTGAACAATTTCTATATTCTAGGCCTTTCCAGTTAGAGGCAGCCATTATTGAACTACTAATATATTTCTGCTAAACCACTCAAATAAATTTCTTTCTAATATCTGTATTTATTCTATCTGTTCTGTTCCTTTAAAGAACCCTAAGACACATTTGTATGCATTTTATAACTGCTAATGAACTTTCCTTTATTCTTTATCATATGAAAGGATAGTAAATAATGTTTTACATTCAGGCTACTTAGGCAAAGCCCTTTCCATCCTACAAATCTGCTTTTTAAACCGGTGTTGTTGAGTTAAGTATTGACAGCCATGCTATGAAGTTTCACTATTAATTTTGTTGTTTTCTTCAGCAATGTGCAGATTGTCTTATTTATTAGGTATTGGGTTGTATCACCACTAAAATTTTATTAATAATCATCCAAGAATTTTTCAGATTGATAAGAACTTACTTTACTTTTTTTTTTTTTTTTTTTTTTTTTTTTTTGGTTTTCGAGACAGGGTTTCTCTGTGGCTTTGGAGCCTGTCCTGGAACTAGCTCTGTAGACCAGGCTGGTCTCGAACTCACAGAGATCCACCTGCCTCTGCCTCCCGAGTGCTGGGATTAAAGGCGTGCGCCACCATCGCCCGGCTTCTTACTTTACTTTTGAAATTATCTCATCATTATAATGTTCAGCATATTATTTTTCAAAAATTAGATATTATAAGAAGGGAACTTTTTAAAAAGATGAGTCTTGTTGCTTTAGTTCTCATAAATCAAAATTTGAACCTTAATCCACTAAAATCATTTTTCAGCATATAAATAATTGATCAAAATAAAGGTCTAAACTGCCTGGATTAGCCACACTTATTCTTTTATAATCTAAGACATGTTTATTTGTCATGTTTTGAGAAATGAATCAAAAGATGACCTAAGTTAGGTGACAGCTATATGACTTTAACTTTATAGTAACAGTTCCTCATTATTAACCAAGAGAGGACTGACTGATGTCGAGTCTAGATTCACATACATTCAATTCATGAGTAATTTAACTCGAACATTTGTTTCATCTGTGAATCTGTTAAAGGCGCAATATCCAAGAGTTCGTATAAACCGATTTCGGGGTCCGCCCCAAAGCACAGCATGGAGGAAAAGGGTTCGCTTTTAAACAATGTATTCTTTCGCTGTGGACTTCTTGTATGGGACCTGCTTCATATGCCAAGTCATTTTCAGGAACTGATGCCTGAAACGTGTTTCCTGATGCAGGACAGCAAGTTGGTTTAATTTTTCAATGGTACATGAAATTCCTTGAGTTGGTGCTTGTCATGTTTTATTTCACTATCACCTTTCCCAGATACTATGGTTTTTATTTTTCTATTCTCTCTTGCTCCTGTATATATTACTAGCCATTTTTTTGTTATTTTACTATTCCATATTAACACTAAGTTTATAAATAAATTATAGGAAGCACTAACATAAGCTATAACATCTAGTGTTTCGAAATCTGACTCAGTTTTTCAAGATACTTTTTTCTACGTGGTTCGGAAAATGGAGGAGTTAATAAAAAGAGTGTGCTCCTTGTAGGCAAACCCATAAGGTTATCCAGGAAAACAAGATCAGAGGAGCACGTGGTATTAATACACAAAGTTTGTATTCTATAAATTAATAAATCAACTTATGGTGACTCGGTTCTGAAAGGTTAGTAAAATACTAAGTGAAAGACGCGAGGAATCAATACTCTCCTCTGGCATTTCGCTGCTGTCTAATAGCATTCTTGGTATGTGTGGAGAGAGCTGCTGGTATTTTTGCTCTCATCTACAGGAAAATGAACATTCTATAAAGGGTAAATCTATTAATTAGAGACCCATACAACTCTCTTTCTTGCTAGTGTAATCGTTAAATTGATTCTTCCAGTCCATCATGTAATTGCTCCAGCGATGGAATCCTGCTTTCCACTCTTGCTCTGTTTCATCAATATTTCCTGTAAAACACAGAATTCACTGCATTAATCTGAAGTTTAATCTCTGTTTACATTACCTGAAAAATAATTCTAATTATAGATGACATTTTCTGCAAGTATACAACATAGCGAGGTTTTATTTTTCATTATGTATTATGAACTTCTATTACTACTAGAAAAGCCTCTAATAAATTTTATGCAGTATATTAAATAATACAACTAAAATGTATATAAAATAAAAATAATGTGAAAGCATGAATTGTATCATGTCAAATTATTATATGTTCTTTCATTATTTTCCCAGAAGACATGTAGATATTACTTCTATTAATGAACTCTTTAAGCAGTAGAAAAAAACTTCAAAATTCAAAATCTAGTTACACATAGACACTGGGGTATTATCTTCAGTTAAAGTACTTATATAAGTAAATGTTTACTAATATATAATAAGAACTTCATAATTATCATCCATATAGACTTTTACATTCATTAAAATAAATTTTCATTCCATATGATGTTCAGTTATTTACAGTGTTGTCCACAAGAAAGCAGTTTAATATTTCCTCTGTAAAACACAAAGAAAACAAGAAAATATTGGCCCTCATGTAGTCCGTGAGTCATATGCAGTTTTATCTGATGATTATGCCATCCATTAATCATTATTCCACATGTATGCATTTATTTGTGATAAAGGGAAAAGAAACTTTAACAAGGAAATGGCTAAGAGGATAAACTGCAAGCATTTAGAAAAGTAAAAAAGAAAGTAGAAAATTGCTATTAAGATTATGGTAAATGTTGATAAATATCATTAAATATTGAAGTAGACTTTTCTTTAATATAAGAATATATCTATGTATACTTTCCATTTGTTGTTAGACAGAATTTTATCTTACAGAGAGAACCATATATAAAGTTATAATTCCTTCATTCTTGCTACAGTGGCACTAGTTTGTGACTGGGACATTATGATGTGAAGAGCATCTTAGCCTATGGAATGATGACTTTTTATGAAGAAGAGCCTTCCCTAGAACTTTGTGGAGAGAGAAATAGTAAGGATCCCCTCCACTGATGCCCTATAATAGAAGTCTATGTTGGAAGGTAAACTTGTTTCATTTGTCATATGAACCACGGTGAAACGAAGAGTATTCATCCATTGTCTTCAGTTTGTCACTTTCAATAGTGTGTGCAAAATAAAGAAACTCTGAGAAGCAAAGAAATACACAGATACGTGACATAATTTAAAAATATGTTATGGATATGAATAACAACTGTAGAAGTAATCAGTGTCTAACTTCATTAATAATAAGATAAAATTTACCGATATACATAAAATTAATGGCTCTTGTTATTTTTTTCCAGAAGAGATTATATTGAAATATGTAAAATATAATTATTTTTATCTTTATTTTTTAATTATAGATCATATTAAGAAGAAAATCGATTGCAGAATTTTAGGCATTTCTTCAACTAAAAAATACCAGTCAGAGGCAAAGTAGGCATTAAATATTTTCATACTAAAGAAAAACATATTTGGAATACCTTTTAAAAAATAAAAAATAGATGAAATATATTAACATACAAATAAAATGAAAGTAACCAAGCTAGCATGTTCTGGAGAGGACCTGGCGAACAAAAGCAGAGCAGCCTGATGAATGGAATGACGGTGTGGATGTGTTTCATAATGCGAAGCAGGAGAACCTGGCATGCCGCGAAAGCTAATACATCCAGGAATCAACAACCCGGACCCGTCAGAGCTCCACTTGAAATTACTAAGCAGCTGTGCTTAAGATAGAATTGAAATTTCTTAGCACGGTGCAGAGGACACGTCGTCCCAGGTCCCTGGTTATCCGGCTCCCCTCTCCAGGATGCCTTCCTATTAAGATTCAGTGCAGGTGTCTGGACGTCTTAATAGCTTTCCACGATCCTGGACCGTGCCTCTGCCAATTCACTGTGAGTGAGCATGCGTCATATTTATGAGGGGCTTCATGGATTGCACAGTCCCTTTCTAGGGCTAGGGAACAGAGCATGCTCTCTATACGCAGTTATATTAGTTGATGAAGATGAAAAAAAGGGACATCATATTTCTATTCCGCATCTGGTTATAGTACCCAAAATTGGACAAGATTTTGTTAAATGCAAACCCCACAAGCATAGCAATCTGCTTGAATCGATTAGTTATTTAGAGATTATTTTTCTCTTTCCAACTTTTAATATCTTGTGGATAATTGATGATGTCATTTTTGCTTTGAATGAAAGGATTGTATAATATTTGTGTTAACCAATGTCTTGAAAGTTAAGTTTCTTTTGGGGAATTATCTTTAGTTTTTTAGTTATAATTAACCACACAATTTCACCATTCCTTTTGCTTCCTTCAGATGATCCCATATGCCCCTCCCTGCTACTTTTCAAATTCACGGCTTCTTTTTTCTTTAATGGCTCTATACATGTATTTATATTTTGCTAGCTGCTGCCCTGCCACCCACCAAAGAAAACATCCTATTGCCTTTTTAGCAAGAATTGCTAAGTGAGATTCTGAAAAGTGTGTCACAACTATCCCTGGTGCATGAGCTAGCTTGTTGACGCCCATTCCCTATGGTGGGATGCTATGGCCAGCCTTAACGCAGTGGGGGAGGGGCTTGTCCCTGCTCCAACTTAATGAGCCAAACTTTGATGACCCCTTGGGAGGAGTAGATGGGGTTTGGACTGGGGGGAAGGTGGGGACCGGTGCAGGAGGAGAGGTGTGTGTGGGGGGGAGGGGGGAACAGTGAATGGAATGTGAATGAAATTTAAAAAAAATTAATCAAAATTAAAAAAAAAAATAAAATGGGGTTGAGCATTGAGAAGCCTCCATGGTCTATGGCAGGAAGATCAAAGTTAATCATAAGGTTAATTTTGGCCTACTTACTTTCAAAAGTAAGTAGACACATTTTTGTCTAAGTAAAAATGTTCATTTTGATAATGAAACTACGGTAACTTTATTCTCCACGTTAGCTTTCCATGATCTCATCTTCAATTATTAATCTTGCTACCTAATTGGAACTATCAGTAAATGATTCTGGAAGTAATCAACTTATAGACTATCTGAGCATTTTTGCATTTTTTTTATTTTCATACATGTCTGTATGATGCTTTTCATACCACCTGTGTGGATATCCTGCTTGCTCTAGGTATCCTCTGTCTCCACCTTCAAAGACTAATTGTATTCACATGGATTTAGGGAATCAAAACACTAAGCAGCCAGTCTTCTCCACAGACCCCAAGAGCACTTAAATTTAGATAGGGTCTTCTTTAGATTGGTCAAGAATAATGCTCCATGATTACTCAAACATCAGTCGAGAAATTGCTGTGTGTAATGTGTTTCCTTGTGAGATAAAATGAAGCTAAAATATTTTCTATTAACTTTCATCCTATATTTCTATCACTTATGACAATGAATGGATAATTTCTGTCTCCTTTTAAAAATAACTATGACTTCCTATATGATAATATTTTTAGAGAAATACAAACAGAAAAAATATTTGATACAAACATGAGACATTTTGTTTCTTACAGGGCATGCAATAACAGTAGACATGGACTGAAGTATAGCCCAGAAGTGAAGTGCTGGAGGCCATGTGTTTAAACGAGTCTTAAGAATCATTGAATTTGAGAACATTTATTGCTCTAATGTAAACTGTAACTGAAGTGGCGCTTAGAAAGCGTATTGCTTTTTCGTTTGAAGTGAAGTAAGCATTTATTGTTTCAAGAAAGGCAGTCAGTAGTAATTCTTTGAAAGTTTCTTTTGTTTGTAGATCTACATTTGGGAAAAAATAACTTCAGTCCAAACCTTAAAATATTATATTTGAAACCTTAAAGATAAAACTTACAATGTTTGTTTGTTTTTGTTTATCGAGACAGGGTTTCTCTGTAACTTTTGGTTGTGTCCTGAAACTAGCTCTTGTAGACCAGGCTGGCCTTGAACTCATAGAGATTCACCTGCCTCCACCCCACAAATGCTGGGATTAAAGATGTGCATTACCACCTCTCAACAAAACATGCAAATTTTAATACCTGAAAAGTGTAAGGTATAGTTTAATTATATATTTTAGAAATCTACCTAACATTAACTATTTATAAAACTCAGACTATTGTGACAATTTTAAATGAATACATTGTCCTCCAAATGATATAATTTATTTGCCTTTAACATATCTGTACAGATACATATTAATTTTTCTCTGTTATGATTTATGGGATATATGACCCTGGCAGGTTCCACACGGGTGGGAGACAGACAGATAGGCCATGCAGAGAGAGCTTGGGTATGGAGAGTTTATTTAGTGGGTATTGGGAGGGTATGGGAAGGTAGGGAGACATGGTGGTAAGAGACAGAAAAAGAGAGAAGAGACAGAAAGACAGGGAAGAGGAGAGGAGGGGAGACAACGGAGGCAAAGGGTGAATCTTCAGAAGAAGAACTGGGAGTGGGGAGAAAGAGAGAGGGGGAGGGAAAGTGAAGGCCAGTTTGCCTCAGGAAGAAAGGAGAAGATTGGAAGTGGGCAGGACTTGTCTCTTAAAGGGATGTTGTACCCAGGGCAGGTCAGCATAATTATAAAATTTGCTGTCTCTGTCTCTCTCAGTGTCTTTGTTTCTCTATGCACATGTGGAGTGATGTGTGTGTGTGTGTGTGTGTGTGTGTGTGTGCACGTGAGCACGTGTGAGCATGGATGGGTGCACGGTTGTGGATTATTATTTGGGTATTATTGAAGGTGGGTCATAGAATAAAAGATATATTCTGGTGTGTGTTGGGGGTTAAAGTTAGTGCTAAGATTTCAAGCTCAGGTCTCTTTGCTTATTCAATGGGTTGTTTACCCAATGAGTCATCTCTTCAAACACCTAGAAAATATATTACATTTGAACTCATTTGGAGGGATATTCAGAATACACTAGAAATCTAACAAATAAGAAATTATATTTCAAGACACACTAAATTTAATCCAAAGAAAATTAATATGTTCTAGAAACTTTTCTTTTTAAGTTTAAGAGATGCTCACTGCTTTCAGAAGCAGTAGCAGTCCTAAACTAAAGTCTTATGAGAGGAAAAATTTTCAAATAGATCTTTTTGCATCCTACAGAGATGCATACCCTGTAGAATCTCACCCTCTCCTTTAAGTTGATCTCTTCCAGAGACCAGAATCTGGGGTTTGTGGTATGTTCAGTGGTATCTGTTTGGGTTTCTTGGCAGATCATGTGAGTTACCTCATTGTTCCTCACACCCGGAGAACACAAGGACAGCACTGTTGCTCTGCCAAGGGACACAGAGACTCCGCTCTGGATATATATTATGTCATAGAACATTTAGTCTTACTCAGAGCACAGATAGATCATTAAGCTCTTTCAAACAGATAAAGTACACAATTACAAATTTGGTGACCAATGTCGATAATCAAAGGGCATATTAACCATCCTGACACGTCTCTGAGATGCTTATTTTTTTAAACTAACCCAAATTCTCAGAAAAATGAATCAACAATATACATTATTTTTGATTTCAAACACACACTTTGGCAATGAGTTTTCTATAAATGACCTGTCATGTGATGGGTCATTGAAATTGTATTTTAATAAAAATAAAATTTTAAATTATGAACAAATAGTACATGATTATTAAACTAACATTAGATAACAATGCCACACATTTTCAAGTTTGATCATCTATATGATACTTCTCACCAAAGAAAATATGTTTAGTTGGTCAAATAAAATTTAATAATTAAAAAATAAAATTGACAATGTTGCCATCATTTTTCCTTAATAAGTTTTCTGTAGATGCACATGGAAAGTCTAAACTAAAATGAATGAAACAGACAATTCTTGATAATATGAGATGGTTGCAAATTCAACAAAATATTAAACTTTGAATCATAAAGAATTAATATGCACTGTGGAAGTAGGTTGGTACTCTGCTAGCAATCTTTGATATTTAATAATTATAAAAGCAAAAATATTAACTTCTGGAGACAACATTAATGAACTATGCTGAAAAATAATCCTAGTTAATAAAGTATCTTAGAGATATAAATGCTAAATATTTCCAAGATTAAAATTAGTAATTCTACCTAGATAACTAAGGCAAATATTATTTCATATTTAATTTTAACCACAGTTGAGAAGGAATACATATTTTCTTTGTGTATGTGATTTTTTTTTATATGAGAAAACTCCATACTTTTTGAGAAACGTTCTTTCACTGAACCTGCAGGTCACTGACTCTAACAGAATTCCCAAGGAGTCCTCTTCTCCTGGCCTCCCAGCACTGCATATACAAATATGTACCATGACCACAAACTCAGATACTTTGTGGTGCTGGGAACAAAATGCACATCCCCCTGTTTGCACACTAATCACGTTACAGGATATCTTGCCTTAATTTTTGTAAACATTTTTTTCATACAGCATATTTGGACGAAAGTTTCTCACCTTCATTCCCTCTCATGTCCTTCCCTATTCCCTGATCATTCAACGAAACAACTTTCTTTCTCTCTATTTAGAAAACTGTCACTTACACCCCATTTTAACATTCGAGCTAGGTCAAGGAAAGACTTTTTCAACATTCAATATTCCATTTTCCCCTAATTTTGCACAACCCATCATCAATCTACTAAATAAGCAAATTAAAACAAAAAAACACATACCTGTCATTTCCAAGACTTTAGGAAAAAATTGTTTCCAAAATCGGCATTGTGGAGCACGGAGCTTAGAGTTTATTCTTGGTTTCTCTGTGTTCAAAGTTAGGTATTTTTGTTCAGTACTTGTGAAGACAGGCCACATTGTACTATCATTCTGGATCCCATTGGGATGTCTAGATATTTAAAGAGATGTTAGAGTTTTTATGAAATCATTCTTGGATGAGACATTTTTTTCTCTGAAATTGCCAATAAAAGTCAAACAATAATTTTAGAAAACCTATGGTCATACTTTGATGATGGCAAGTGTAAATGAACTGGGTTTTAAGATGCCAAGCATGAATGAGCTTCCTTTTTAGTTTCTTCAGTCACAATATTAATGAAAACAATAGGGACTGAAATTCAGGACATGTACTTATGTGCAACATAAAAACACATTTTAATTTTTTAAAATGTCTCTTTTTCCCAACATAATATTTTTTATTGATTATTTGGGAATTTCATGCAATGAACCCAAATCACACTAACTTCCTCTTTCCACCACACTCATTACCCCAAACCTACAAAAAGAAAAAAAAAATACCAAATGCCAATTTGTGTTGGTGAATTCTTGAGTCTCACTTAAACACATTCAAAAAAGGCAATATTACTTTTCTTCCACTATCTTTTCCTATTATATACTTAAGCTTTTATAGTCATAGTATTATCACCATCTTAAACTGCATTGCCTCTACTATGTTCTATGTATATTTTTTTATAATACTCTCTGGATTTGGCACTATGCAACTCTTTATGCAATGATCTTACTATCCTAGAAAAGTAGCATCCCTCATCTTAAAAGCCTCTTATTTCACTTTTGTTTTACTCTTTAAAATATCTCTATAAGAGCCAACAAGATGTGGCACCATGTAAAGGCACCATCCCTCACATCTGATAGCCTGAGTTTGATCTCTGGGGCCAACATGGTTCAAAGAGAGAATTGATTCCTGAAAGTTGTTGTTTGACTTAAACATGGATTACCTATGGAATTCACACACACACACACACACACACACACACACACACATGCATTCATGAATACGTGCTCACATTGGAACATAAATAGATAAATTTGCAATAAATATTTCAATAACTTTAACTTGAGTTCAGAACAAAGTTAAAGAACATGGCACAAGCAAATTTCTTAATATTTTCAATTTTTCTTTTAATAAACCATTGAGTAGGAATTAGAACTATTCTCTTCAGTATCCATCTGTGTATTTTTTTTTTTAAAAATCATTAGTGAGTAAGAATATCTATGAAATCAAAGATCCAGTGATGAAAGCTCTTCTAATACCAGGTCTAATACTGAGAATAGTAATCACATTTGAAAAAAGATCACACAAGGAGTGAGATTATGGGTAAATAATGATGATAATAATAATAATAATAAGCCAGAAAGACATATGTGAAAGCCAGAGAGGGAATATAGTTATTGAAAAGTGAATATTGAGTCTGTTATTTAGTCCAGTAATGATAAACAGTGTCCTCACAGTTAAGAGCCATGAAGCTAGCTTAGATATTGGCATTGTCACATTATATATGACAACCTAAGAAAACAGTGGGATTACACTTGTGAAATTTCCTGCTCTTCGAGGGATTTGGGGCCACATTTTGTTGTGGTAAGTAGAACAATGTAAGCCTATGTGGAATATACTTATATTTCTGTAACAAAGAGAGGATTGAAGTGATGGAAGTAAGAAATCCATTCCTTTCTCTTAGCTTTTTTTCTTCATTCAAAATTACAGAAGAAAATTTCTCGTTGAACTTTCTAGAAACAGTATGAAAGACTTCATTGTTCATATATTTGTAGATGGTTAGTCAATAGAAATTTACAAGCAGAGTTAGGCAATACAAAACTTTGAGATTGAGAGGAAACTCAGAAATGTAGCATTCATCAAAATAGTTATCCAGAGGCAGATTATACCAACAACTTGTATTACAATAGCATGACCAAAGCGCATAGCATCCCAGGCACAGGCATACTCAAGCATGAATTTAGGAGCTTTAGCGAGAAATAGCTTCCCGATGGACTAGTTGATTTTGTGCAGAATTGGATGATGTAGGACGGATTATTAATAACCAGAGCTATTTAAGCTAAATCAGTATCATCCTGGTATAGAAACCTGCAGCTCGAGGATATTATTTGAAGGAGGTCAAGAGGATAATGTGGCCTGATCACAGATGGTGCACAGCCCGGGAGAATCACGGAATCCTTTACTTTGCTCTAATAGTTGTGGAAACCAAACAGGTCCAGCTGCTGGAGGCTGGCTGTTAAACGAGGGGAACCACTGGCGCGACGCAGAACTGCGATTTTGTGTTGTAAACCACACACTTTCCCTCCACGTCCTCTCTAATTAACTTACAGCAATGTGTTCACTACATCCGCCTTCCCGGCTGATGCAATGGGTGGCTGAGACAGAACTGGCTTTCTTTTGGGTTCAAAAGCAGGACAGTAAAGGTACCATCAGTGTGCACTTAACAAACCTTGTCCTTTGAAATGACTTATGATGCCCCATGTTATGACTTGGGGACAATAAATTTTCCTCTGCTCATGAACGCAGATATGGTTTTCAGAAAACATGATTGAAGCAGTTTGCAAGTGACAAACGTTTTAGTCTGTAATGTAAGGAAATCTCCCACAAATTGAAACTTGAAAAGAGATGCAATTCTCTTCCTGTCTGTATCAATTAAAACCTTGTGAAATGCAGTGTATTTCCCTGACACACAATTCTGAAACAGGATGTAATTCAGATCTCACATATAAAATACACTCCAACATCTTGAGTTTTGCTATTTCTATAAAACATTTTCTGCCTTTGTCACAAAATAAAGACTTGAAAGTGATTATAACATAAAAAATTTCAAGAAACAGTAGGCTCTCCTTTATTTTCATTGCCAGATCTTTTTTTCACTTTGAGATATACAAAATGTTCTAAAGTTCACTATTATAATCTCCATTTCATGGAGGTGTGAAAGGTTAGGAGACATTCTATCTAACCAACCAAAGATACTTTCTTTCTTCATGTCTATGGGACAGAAACATACTCTGCCAGTTATAAATATCTGGGAAAATATTTATATATATATATATTCTTTATGAAATAGCTTTAAAAACATGTATTATCTTACTGTACCCTGTTAAGAAATAGTGGACATTTAGTTTCATATTGCAACTTTCTTGCAAAATAAAATCCTAATCTTTCTTATGTTAACAGATGAATTAAGATATATAAATTTGAAGTAGGGAAATGACTCTCAGTAAAGTACTTGTTGCACAAACACAATAGGCTGAATTTGGATCCTGAATGTCCACGTAAACGCCCACTGTGGCAGCTCTTCTGCAACTTCCAGTGCTGAGGAAGGAGACAGAAGCCTGGAACTTGTTGTCCAGAGAGTCTACCTGAATCATCTAACTCCAGATTCAGTAAGAGATTTGTCTCAAAATAATGTGAAATGTGACTTATGAAGATACCTAAGTCGAGCTTGTGTGTGCGCGCACACACACACACACATGTGCACCCACAAACACTACATGTATAATTCACACACAAAACATTCAAACATTAACTAAGAACATATTTAAAATTATGTTAGGTAGCTAATTTTAAGGTGAGAATATTGGAATGTTCTTTAAGATCTACCAAAATGCAATCATGGACATCAGCCATGAATTGAAGAGCCATTTGAAACATTTAGTTAAATATTTGGTTAAAGACTTGGAAAAACAGAAATATCATTAATTGTGTATTAAATATTCAAGTATTTTGGGGTTCATATATCAAATACATGAATAAGTACAGCTCTATGATAAGAATGAGAGGACTATTATAGAGTTTGAGTCCATTCAATCATTCAACCAAATCATCTATTCATTCTAATCATTTGGTATGTCAAATAATACCCTAATCATTGCAAGTTGAACAGGCAAAATAAGAATTACTGAATTTTTACTTATCTATTTTATAAAATCATATTGAGTGATATAAGCTAGACACAGAAAGACAAATATAATTTATAATATATATATAATATAGGGGCTGGAGAGATGGCTCAGAGGTTAAGAACACTGACTGCTCTTCCAGAGGTCCTGAGTTTAATTCCCAGAAACCACATGGTTGATTACAGCCATCTATAATGAGATCTGGTACACTCTTCTGGCATGTAAACATACATGGAAAGAATGTTGTATACTTAATAAATAAATAAATCTAATATATATATATAATATACTCACTCATAAATGGCTTTTATACATAAAGCAAATAAAAAATCACTTACAATTCACAACACCAGAACCTAGACAGCAAAAAGGACTCTAAGAGAGACATACATTGATCTAATCTACATTGAAAGTACAAAAAGACAAGATCTCCTGAGTAAATTGGGAATAAGGGGATCATAGGATACAGTAGAAGGAGGAGGAAGGGAGCAGAGAAAAATATATAGCTCAATAAAAAAATAAAAATATTGAAACAGTGGGATAAATAAATAAAATACAATGCATGTGATATATGACTATAAACGGAGACTAGAATGTAGGAAAAGGAGAATGTGGCTCAGTTTTGGAATAGCAGGAGGTAATATAAAAGAGTAAAGTATTTATTCTAACTTTAAACTGATACAGATAAACGAATCTGACATACTAACGAGGTATCATGTAACTCTTTGATACATTTATGTACTGCGTACTTACTATATATAACCATTTCTTCAAACACATCATTTCCGTAGTTAAAATTCTTCTAGCTACCTAAAATACAGTCCATAAATTTTATTTGTAGTTACCTTACATTTTGGATTCTCACACTATGTCTGATACTTTATACCACAAGGTACATATCATCAAGTCCATGAGATAATTTTGGTCAATAGAGTGGCTTTAAGTGGGCTAGCCATACTGATACTTGGAGATTTGGAGTTGACAGGATCTGTGAAAACCACCACTCACTCATTTAGGAAGCTAAGATTTCTACTCATGTGACCACCTGATTCTTTAGAAAGGGAGTGGGCTCGGCCACATGAGCAGTGACACCATCAACGTGGTGTATAAAAGGAAAAGGACATAACAGTGCAATCACCAAGCTTAAGTAAAATTCCTAGGTTCTTAGTAGGCCCTTTCCAGATTTGCACAATT